TTAAAACAACTGCATTGAGCAGCACACACAAAAGCTAATTCCCATCAAGAAAATGGACAAAATCATAAATTCAAGCATACCCCTTGACATAAAACATGACTATATTTATTCCTTCTTTGTGGTAGTGCTTAAATTAGAGCAGAGGCAAACACACAAAGCAATACAAATAAAACAGAATTGGTGCCACAGCTATTGTGCATTGCTGTTAGTAGTCTTTAACATGACTTTTACCTGCCAGGTCATATTGCAAATTATAATATCGATAGGACCCTGCACACGCTCTGATTGGTCGAAAACCCATGTTTTATCAGAGTGTAAAACATAGAAAAGGCATGTTTTATTGTTTTTCGCCACATTACCTCTATATCATAAAGCAAATGAAGAAGCCTAAGCCTTGTATTACAATGTGATAAATCACTCCAGACATTTGAGAACACTCAAGAAAATGTAGAAAACACTCGCCTGCGGTTCGTGATTTATACATTTCCCTCGTGTTCTCAAATGCCCGTCGTGTTTTATCACAGTATAACACACGGCTTAGGCTTCTTTATTTGTTAAATAAAACATTGACTGATGCTTTAAAATGTGCATCGAGTTATGTCTCACTTGAAAACTTTGGAGACCGCTCAAAACTTTGCTTTCCGCCGTACTTCAAGAAACTCTTAACGCTTCTTTAATTTTCTGCCCTCAAACTTCCGGCATGATACAAGTGAAACGAATCGATTAACACAAGACGTCATCGATATTTTTACTGTAAACTTATATGCACATACGATTCAGGCAAAAAAGACTATCACGATCTAACTGTATAGTTTCCTAACGGTTTTTCATAAGGTTAGCTTACAAGAAACGACATTTTTCTCATAACTTGAGTTTACATGACTAAGAAAATTTAGAGACATGTAAATTTTAGCCGTCGTATGTTTAACAACGATGTCTGCAGTGTCTGCCGCATCGCTACAGATGCTAATCATTGAGATAAACATAGCACGAGTATTAGACCGTACTGATGCCCACTGAAATAACTTTTTAAAGCAATTTCTCATTGCCTCTCTCTTGTTTACGAGTGCTGTGAAATTATTAGCCAGACAATGCAAAGTTTGGACGGTGTTTCAACTCGCTCCCGAATCTATAATTGATTGCAGCTGGCAAAGAAGTCGCACGGCATCGTTCGGAAAAGTAAACTGTATTAAACACACAAGCCTTGAACGTCAAAATAGTCAGTCAACTTACCTAAGATGTTCAACTTCAAGCCTGCTGTACGTGCCATTACAAAATCATTGGTAAATCGTCGAAACGACGCAAACAGCAAAGTTCAGCTGTGTTCATTAGCATGTTCCAGGCATAATACATGGGGGCAGTCTGGGGAGAGAATCCAAGACCATTCTCGCGGAAGTCACGCAACCCTCCACAAACCAACGAAATCACCTTTATCACGGTAAATATCGACAATGAAGTTAGTGTCTTGGAAGATCAGAAAACATCAAGACGAAAAGCGACCTGCCATTCCACTGAGGGAGGAAAGTTGACCGCCAAAGAACATTTCTTTTGCCCTGAAGGGTGAGACGGATGTGATGTATTTATCCAGGCCTAAAAGCGGCGTTCCCATAAAATACCAATACTAATCATCTACTTGACACATTAACCTTTAAAGAAATTCACCAATACCTATTTTACTAAACCGAATGAACTAAACAGCAAAACAAACAAACACAAAATACAAGGAATCTACATAAATAAATAAATAAATAAATAAATATACATTTATATAGCGCCATTTTCCATTAATTGTCCATGGCGCTTTACAGTACCTTAAAATTAAAATCCTAAGTTTAAAATCCTAAAATTAAAATCTTAGTCCTTTAAAAACCAAAAATCCTAAATCCTAAAAGTTAAAATCCTAAGAATTAAATACGCTATATAATGCAATTAGACTACAAATAAAAAGTAAAAAACTACAAA